AAAAAACCTCCACCTGTAAATACCATCTCAAAATAATAGAGTAAAAGATGCTAGTAGTCACTCAACTTTTATTGAAGCTTCCTGTTAATCAACAAACTTTATTTTCCTTTGAAATGATTATGAAATTTTGCTTTTTATCTTAGATTTATCACTCAATTAAATTCCATTAGTTTTTTTAACAAAATATTAGACACAGAAGACCTCAACGTCGACACCACATGATGTTTCTTTTGTCACGTCCACATTCTGTAAGAAAAAATTAATGAAATTTAATTGAGTGAAAAATCTAAGAGAAAAATTCAGCGATTAATTTAAAATACAATAAAGTTCGTTGACTACCATAAAATTCTCTTCAATTGAGTGACTACCAGCATTTGTTTACCCTATTATTAATTCTGAGATGGTATATAAACTAATATATAGGCCGAGGCCTTTTAAAGAATATTAGGCCGTGGTTGATTTGTCGTTTTCGGTCCATTTTCCGTTTTTCGTTTTCAAAAACGCGTTTGATCCGTCGTTTTCAAAAACGCATTTTCGAGAACGAGTTAAAATTTATAACTGAAAACTCAAAACGATTTTTTATTGTTTTCAACGTTTTCAGTTATAAATGTCGAAAACGTTCAAAACGCGAAAAACGNTTGGGAGTGCAGGGCCAATAAGATTTATTGTGAATGAAGATGATAATTCTGCAGCGGTGGTTGAGACTGCTTTAAAGTTATATGCTCGCGAGGGACGCCTTCCAATTCTTGGTTCTGATGTCAACAGTTTCTTTCTCTACCCTGCCAATGCTGGATTGGACGGTATAATCAAACACACCTCTTTTCTCAAATTTATTTTTCTACAATCATAAAAATAGGAGCCTACTCGTACTTTGAAGTACCCCGATACTGTAATGGTGCTATCTTATGGTCTCGAGCTTTGTTGGGGCTGAATATTTTATACTCCGTCGTTTTACCTAAAACCTGAATTTGGGGTTTTTGCACAAAAATTTATAATCTTTTTGGTTTCAGCTCTTTATCCAACGGAGTTAATAGGATCACGCGGAGTAAGGAACTTCGTTTTGTGCAAGAAGCAAATCAATCCACACATGACTGAAGGAAGGTCGCAGGTTATTGCTCAAAAGGGAGGAGGATGGCTTGCGTGGCTGCAGAAATCATTTAGTCTAAAAATATTAACTCATTGAAATGCCCTCCTCGTTTCAACTCATTTTGCTCTCTTGTGCTCCTGTAGTTGGGTTAATAAAGGGTATTGTAAATACATGGGATGGTAATAAGGAAGTAAAGTAAGTTAAAATATTACTCAATTCCATCTATGTAACAGTGTTTTGTAATAGAGAAGTTTTATGCATTTATCTAAGAAATTTGGATTCAAGTGCCTCCCATGAAGAACTTGGAGTTATTTGTTCCTAAAATTGTGTTTTATGTATTATTTTAAATAAAATTAAATTTGTCCTCAATTTCACCTAGCGTGACATTTGAGTTCCATTAATTTTAGTTTTTTTGGGAAGGGGAGACGTGTCAAGTCCTTTTGACAAATATTGAATGGGTCGATATAAAATAATTGTTAAATTCTTACATGGGTAGGGCAAGTTAGTATGATTGTTTTATTCACATAGACTAATAAATACGTTTATTTATTGGATGTGTTAATAACATAAATATTTAGTGGTTCTTTTAACTAAAATTGTTAAAATTAAATGATAATTTAATAACAAATTGTCAACTTGGGAACCAATGCTTAGAATGACAACTTATGTGCTATGTGGAACGAAAATTCTATCGACAGCATTATTGGAGGATAGTCTTTGTTTGTCTTTGTTTTGCGTAAAAACTATGTTTTCCAGCTTTCTTTTGTTTAGCTTTAGTTAAACAATAAGCATAATAACTTTGCCAAAGCAGAGGCTCATGTTTAAAGGTGAATAATATTTGTTAAGCACAATAATTTACTTTCTATAATTTCTAGAACACTTGACTGATCTAGATTTACTAATTACTTTTTAATTAAAAATTAGGAAAATAAGAAGAAACCGCAATGCCTCTTGTACAGAGGAATTACTGCTAGAAATCCAAGATTTTATGCCAATTGTGATCTGGATTGATTCTGACAACCATTTTTCTGTACATGTAACAAACTCGAAGAAGAAAAACATATCTCCTTTCAAAAAGTACTGCAGGGAAACTAGGAACTAAATCTAGATAGTTGAAAACTTAACAGAAATAGAAAAGAAATGAGAAAGAAAGAAAGTAAAAGCACATTCGGAAGTGCTAATGAAATCAATTTAGATGTTCTTAAGTTAGACTTTTAAATATTTATAATTTTTTTAGGTGGTTGATTTTTGAAGAGTTCTTGAAATTCTATTGACTTTTATAGATTCTACAAACATATGAAAAGCTTTCGTAATTTTTTTATAGATTTCATTTTGATTTTTTTTTTATAGGTTTTCATTTTAATTTTTTTTTATCACTTGTAATGTTAAAGTATTGTAAATAACCGTCAAAATATCACGCTATATAAAATTAGTAAAAAAATGAAAAAATAAAAAAATTAAGTCATAGAAACGAACTCCATACCCAAAATAAACAAGGGGTGCCTACATCATAGGGATAAAAGTAAAAATAATAATAATAAATAAATAAATAAATATATATATATATATA